GGGGAGTAGGGGGGTGGGGGGACGACGACTACCACACGATGACTGTCCACTCACTAATCTGCTTCTCTCATCATTCAACAAAAATAATCATCTAAATGTATATGAAGTAATCTTAAAACAGAGGCCTAGGTAGTGTAAACTTTTGGCCTAACATTTCTTTCTGTGTGATTTTAGGGTCAGCATGCTGGGAAATAAGCCAAGCCTAGCCTGAGAATCTGTTTCTCTCTCCTTCCAGCATACCTTGGGCCCTCCCCACTGCTTAGCACAGGCCCCTTAATGCCTATACCCCCATTCTCAGCCCACCGCCAGCCCTGGATTCAGTCAAGTCTGTTGGCTGGAAGCAGTGTCATGGGTGTAGGGTAAAAGCTGCACATAGCCCCATTCCCTCCTCCTGAGTATACCAGAGTTCCCCCTCCCCCCTGGAAGACTGCCCCTGGCCAAGGTAGTTGCTCAAGGAAAGGCCCCCTGGAGGGAGCACAGACCTTAAGTAAATGAATAAACACTCTGGTGCCAGGAGAGTAGTAGGAAGATTAATTTGTCTATCCAGCCTCATCTCGGGCATGCTCTGAGTTATGTAAACTGGGTGAGGGTCTGCATGTAAGCCCCAAAATGATTTACACCCCTACATTAATCTGTTAACTATATAACTGCTGTATGTTCTCTGTGGCGGTGAGGACTTCTTACCAACAGGCCACCCCTGGTGTCTCTCATAAGTCTAATAAACAGATGTCTCTACCTGCTGGACCTCTGGGTGATTTCTTTGGAACAGGTAAACACTATGCGAGTGCCCTCTCAGATTTGGGGCTTCAACATTACACATGGGCAAAACAATATAATATGGTTTCATATGATGAGACGAGAAGGCAGATTAGACCAAGAGACAGGGAGACAGAAACACAGAGAAGACCATGTGAAAATGGAGACAGATATTGGAATGATGCAGTCACAAGCCAAGAAATGCCTAGAGCTGCCAGAAGCTACAAAAGACAAGAAACTGAATCTTCCCTATAGCCTTTGGAGAGTGGCCCTGATAGCACCTTGATTTTGGACTTCTGGCCTTTAGAACTGTGAGAAAATAAATTTGTTGTTGTAAGCCATCAAGTTTGTGGTCATTTGTTACAGAAGCCACAGGAAACTAATACAATAGGCATGGACTAAAAACAGACAATTCACAGAAGAAATATAGCCAATGAATACACATCTAAAACATGTCTAATCTCATGTCTTAGTCTGTTCCTGCTGCTATAACAAAATACTTTAGACTAGGTAATTTGTAAATAATAGAAATTTATTTCTCACAGTTCTGGAGTCTGGGAAATCCCAGATCAAGGCTCCAGCAGGTTCAGTGTCTGGCGAGGGCTGCTCTCTGCCTCCACGATGCTGCCCTCTTGCTGCATCTTTACATGGCAGAAGGGCAAGAATAATAAATGTCCTCACAGGCAGAAGAGATGGAAGTAGGAGGCAGCTCTCTGAAGCTTCTTTTATAAGGGGATTAATCCCATTCACTAGGGTGGAGCCCTCATGACCTTATCACTTCCCAGAGGCCCCACCTTCTAATACCATCACCTTGGGGTTTAGGATTTCAACATGTGAAGTTTAGAGGGACACATACATTCAAAATGTAGAACCTCACTAAGAAAGAAACGTAAATTAAAACAAAATGAGATCTTTTCTGCCTGAGGGGTTAGCAATTATTTCAAAGATTAATAACATATAAAGTTGGCAAGAGTGTAATCAGATTCTCCATAATGGGTATAATCTTTCTGTTGATTAATTTGGAAATGTCTGTCAAAATATTAAATATGCAGCCTTTTAGCCAAGAAATTTGCAAGTCTAGGAATTTAACCTAAGGTAATATTAACACAAGTGCAAAATAAGTAGATAACTAAGATATTTATTATAGTAAGTTCTGTTGCAAATGTCCATTGATAGAGGATTGGTTAAATACATGACGATACAGTCATATAATAGAATACTATGGAGCCATTACATAAAACCAGATAAATCTATATGTAATGACAGGAAAAGAATTTCAAAGAATATTGTTATTAAAAACAGGAAGCAAGATACAGAACAAAATATTATCATTTATGTTAACTTTATATATATGTATGTATAGAGGAACTTCTTTAATATTTTTACAATAAGTGAGGCAGAGATGGTAAGCTGCACACCAAAATGTCGTAATCCTCTCCCATACAGTAGCATAATCACTGGAAGGTGGCTGATTAGCCAGGCACTTGATCTCCCCCAATCCCTTATCTCCAGGTACGGTCATGTGACTAGTGCATGCCCATGGGAGGTAAGTAAAAATGATGTGTTACTTCTGAGCCCGAGTATTTAAGAAATAGGTGTGTCTTCACGCTGTTTTTCCCTCTTCCAGGCTGTAAGGTGACTACTCCAAGGCTTGGGGGTGGCAAACCCACAAGACAGAAGCAGCCAGGGTCTCTGAAACTCTGAGGGAAAACGGCCCTCTGACCAGAGTCAGTGTATTAAAATGTATTAATCCATTGAAACTTGGGAGTTTTCACAGCAGCTGGTGTTACCCTAACTTATAGGCATGCATTCATTTTATAATAATATTTTATATACATTTTTTTCTTTAAAAAGAGGAAATAAAGGGTCAGTGGAAAAGCAAACCTCCAACTGCTAACTCTCCCTGATGCCCAACAATTACATAAAATATGGGTCTTGACTAACACACATTCCAATAAGTATGTCACCTCTTAAATTTCATTCCCCTCATCTCAAGGAATCAGAAAGTACAGTGCAACAATGATAAATTTATTTTAAAAGTACATTTCTCCATTTAATAACTGCCCCCTCTTGAAGAAACAGGTTCCAAGTACAAACACAGTAATGGAAGAGGCAAAAACATTTGCTTTAATCACCTTTTCTGTCCTGTGACTCAAGGGGAATAAATGAGTTATAAACATTTTAAAGTCAGAAAAAAAAAAAAAAGTGGGAGCATACCAATAAGCCCATCCATAAAAGAAGCAGTTTTAGAGACAAGTAATTGCTCCAGCTCTTGGAGCATTTGTCTTGTTGGCTTCCAAATATACAGAAGGCACACTTAAAATGATGCTCCTTCTCACAATCCCACTGAAGGGAAGTGCTCTTAGGCCATCAGTCTGTTACCAGTTCATGTGTCCAACATGAAGCCTTTCAGACTCAAATGTTTTTCTTCAGGGACATGAATTTCATAACCTGGATTCTGATTTTCATCTTACAAAAGCAATATATACTGGTCACTTTAAAAAAAAAATAGAAAATACATCTAAACAAAAAGTAAGAAAGGTAAAACATTCCTTTACCCAAAATTAACCAGTTGTTTCATTGGTGTATGACATTCAATATGCATATATGTATGTACAGACATACATGTGCTTTTAAAATAAGCCCATATTTATACAGTCCATCTAACAATTTGGTTTTTTCAGAATATTTAATTACCTCTTTTAACATAATCTGAAGTTACCAGAGGTGGGAAAGGGAAAGAAGGAGGGGGAAAGGGACAAATTGGTAAAGGGCCATGAAAACTGACTACATTGTATAATGTTTAATATACTAATTATCCTGATTTGAACACCACATATTGCACACAGGTATTGATATTCAATGCTGTACCTTACGGATATGCACAATTAACTATGCTCAAATAAAAAATTAATTAAAATGAAAAAAAATTATCTCTTTTTATTATGAATCTTTTTTTGGGGGTGGCAGCTGGCCAGTACAGGGATTGAACCCTGGACCTTGGTATTATCAGCACCACATTCTACCCAACCAAGCTGACTGTCCAGCCCATTATTGTGAATCTTTCTATCTCAATAATTGACCATCTACAACACTGTAATAACTAATTAATGCATCTTTTAAAAAAAGTCAAAAAAGTCCTTTTAAATTTCTTAACAAGAAACTCAAGGCACTATTGCAGCAAAGTAAAATTTTTAAAACAATAAAATTTCTTAATTAAATCATTATTCTGCTAACAATGAGGACAAATGACAAAACATACATAAAACAAATACCTCATTGCTCTCACAGTACCTTGTTTTGCAATATATTCTAGCCTGATGCAACCTCCTAGGAAATGGTGATACGCCCTCATCTCTGCCTCTGTTATCCGCACCAAGGTGTAAGGTGAGTATCTAGGGTCTTGCTGCTCACACTTCATGCACCAGGTGGCCACTGGATTCGTGGAGACAATGCCACCTCGCTCACCCTCCATTCCTCTCTGCACTGCACTCACATAAATGTGTTTAATCCTTTCTTCCAGCTAATCTCTCTGAAGTTCACTCAAGGTCATTTCACTGCTGAGGGATGATCGTTTGGATTGATGAGTGCTCACAGGATTACAGCCTCAGTAGATTACCAGACTTCCTCATTTGAAACACAAAAGGATGTTGGGGTAGAGAGGGAAATCCTAGAGTCGATGAGAATCCGAATGCTTTTTCCTTTCATGAGACACATTATCAGGCCATTAGATATTTAAGAAAAAATAATAGGGATAAACTTTTTAAAGGATGCTCTTTAAAAAAAATAAACACAAAGAAAAACTTATTCCAGGCCACAACTCTACCCGCCTTCTCTTCCAACATCTCCAAGCTGTTGAGAAATAAAATCCAGCCATATTCACTATCTAGGCAGGCAACACAGGTCAGCACAACAAATAGTAAAAGTTCAAATTCTGAGATGGAATGTAGAGTGTCTCCCACTGAAACTACTACTAAAGATCAAGTGAAAGTGTAATATCATGATTCTCAAATGAAGGCTGGCCATTGCCTGTCACGATGTAACCAAGACCTTGCTTACCACCACTTGGGGAAAAGTAAATTCACCTTTCACAACTGTGCCGTGCAGACAGAATGGTATATTCAGAGTAAGGCTGCTTTTTCCTAGTGCATTTTATTTTGATTCTTCATGCTTAATGTTATTGTTTATTAAGGTTGTGCTCTCAGGTTTAAAGAAAGGGCACAATGTGAAATAGCCAATAAGCAAGTTTTGGGGGTTTTGTTGTTTTTTCAGATAAGCTAGTAATGAGTAAATTTTGTATACAAACTTCCAACCTTTATTCATAACATTCAAGCTAAAAATTCAAGTAAGGCTTGCAAATGGCTAAGAAGAAACTGGAAGACCTTTTTTATAAGAAAAAAGTTTTCAACTTTATTTTTGGGGAAAGGGTAAATTTTACATATATTAGAATATTCATGTCTGAAGTATGCATTTCAATGAGTTTTGACAAAAGGATACATCCAGGTAACTCATATCTCTTTCAAGATATAGAACATTTCCATCTCCCTTCCCAGTCAACCATGTTTCCTAACCCCCAGGCAACCACTGTTGTGACTGTTTTCAATAAAGACTCGTTTTTCCTTTTCAAAAACTTCATATGATGTGATCATAATGCTGCGGATCGAATTGTGTCCCCCAAAGTTCATGTACTAGAAACTTAATCCCCACTATTAAAAGGGGGATAGTGTTAAAAGAGTGGGAAATCCTATTACATTAACTAAAAGGTGGGACCTTGAAGAGGTGACTAAGTTGTGAGGACCATGCTAGAGTGAATAGATTAATCCATTGGTTGATCCAGTAGGTGGTCATGAGCATGGTCCTAAGGAATCTAAAAGAAGAGCCAGTGACAAAGTAAGTTAGTCTCTTGCTTCTGCCTTTCCTGCAATATGACACCCTGCATTGCTGAAGTCACTCCCAAAGAAGACCCTCACCAGGTGGAGCGCCGCCGCGCTTCCCAAGTGGCGCACTATCCAGTGCGCCACCAGGCCGGCCCTAAATTTTGTTTTCTTTACAAATTACCCAGTTCTGAGTATTTCTGTTTATAAGCATCAGAAATGGACTAACGTTCCCTGGACTTTGGACTTCCCAGCCTCCCAAACTGTAAGCAATAAATTTTGTTTTCTTTACAAATTACCCAGTTCTGAGTATTTCTGTTTATAAGCATCAGAAATGGACTAACGCACATGCAGTATGTATTCTTTTGTGTCTAGCTTCCTTCTCTCAGGATAATGCTTTTGAACTTCATCCACGTGTGTATCAGTAGTTCGTTCATTTTTACTGCAGATTTGTAGTCCATCGTGTGGATAGCTACCGTTTTTTCTTCTGCTGATGGACAGTTGGGTTTTTTTCCAGTTTGGGCTGTTATGAATAAAGTTGCTATGAACATTCATGTAAAGGTTTTTATTTGGACATATTTTTTCATTTCTCTTGGATAAATACCTAGAAGTGATATTGCTGAGTCAAAGGGTAGGTGTATATTTAACTTATAAGAAATTGCCAAACCTTTTCCCAAAGTAGTTGTACCAGAAAGCCATTTTAAGATTAGAGGCTACTCTGTTCAGTAATCCTAACAGCCAGTTCTTTGTTGGTATTAACTGCATTCAAGAACTTTAAGAAAATACCTAAATAAGAAAGTTTGGGGCTCTAAAACTTATGAAAGTTTCTTATCCTCTACCATCAGGTATTGTGAATATGCTGACTCAGACTAAATACCGGCTTTGAAGTCATCTAATACAGGGGAGAAAAAAAAAATCAGTTTTAAACAACTGTTTGTTAGACATTGCCAAATTTCCCTCCAAAACAGTTGTACCAGTTTGCATTCCCACCAGCAAAATGAAAGTGCCTGATTCCCCACATGGAGGCTCTTTTTCTTACTGAAAATTAAATTCTTTACCCTTTGCTTCAGATGTGAATAACCACAAATGCTTGGTTGGCACAACAGCACCTCTGACTAGAACAGCAAACTTGGGCCGGCCCGGTGGTGCACTGCTACAGTGCGCCGCTTGGGAGCGCAGTGGCGCTCCCGCTGAGGGTTCGGATCCCACATACAGACCGGCGGCTCACTGGCTGAGCGAGGTGCGGGCGCGACACCGAGGGTTGCGATCCCGGTCCGGTACGGGCGCGACACTGAGGGTTGTGATCCGTTGCCAGTCACGAAAAAAGACAAAAAAGGAGAAAAAAAAAAAAGAACAGCAAACTTTGCTAACTTTGTAAACCTACAATGGCAGTATGTGGACAAATGCACACACGCAGCAATGACCATAATTATGTCTTTTGGCAGCTTACAGAACTCCAGGGAGAGGCAGACAGTAAAGTCTTGGAATTTTTCCTTATTAGATTACATTTGAATCTACTATATGAACAAACTGCACAGCTCTTATGAATTCTATATTCCATGCACTTACCTTTATCATTGGACCCAGAACAAGTATCCAATAAAGAACTGCATTCTTTTTATGTTTAGCAATGGATTCTGAAATAACTGGAGACTGGGCAACTACCTTAGGAAACAGCTGATTATTTCAGCAGTACTAGCAATGTGAATTGATCTAAACTC